CTCTCTGTTTTTGTCAGCTTCCTCCGAGGAAAACCATGCTTCTTTTAGCATGCTCCTCTGTGTAGTTACTTGCCCTATGGGGTATTGTTCCTCTGTGAATTAGAGATTACTTCTTTCGAGAGCTTCTCTTCCCTTACTACGATCACTCTTTCCGGAGAAGGTTAAAGCACGATTCACGATAACCTCCAAACTTTTACCATGTAAGAATAATGTGAATAATATTGTAACAGTTCCCGCATTACCCTTTCAGGACATATTTTGCTTGCATTCACCTCGGGAATTTGTTTCTCTAATTGCTTGTTTGCATTATCCTCTTGGGGATATATTTTGTGTGCATTCCCTTCAGGATTCTGGTTTATTTGATTACTTGCTTGCATTACACTTCCGGGAACATATTTCGTAAGTTTCTCCTTCATGGTTCTTGTTTTCTTGCTTATATCACCCATCCGTAGACATCCATCCAAGTTTCTGATAGGGCATATATGCTCACACCGATTTCATTCAGGAAATCACTGTATTAGTATCCATATATATATATCGTTGTATATGTCTTATTTATCGTAGGAACTACTACTCGGCCATCATTCGGATAATAAATTAGTTGGTTTTCTTCCTCCTTTTTGCCAATTCCCTCCAGAGACAGTCATTTTTTTAGCGAGGTCCTCATCAGACTTTCTTGCCCTGCGGGGTACCTTTCCTTAGGGAACCAAATATTTCCTCTTCCCGGAGCTTGTCTTCATTCTATTCACCAGCTCCCTCTGAGGAAAGTCTTCTTTCATTAGGGTGCTACTCCTTGGACTTTCTTGTCCTTCGAGTTATTGTTTCTTTACGAACCAGGGATTGCCTATTTTGGGAGTGTCTCTTTTCCATTTCTTTATCTTATCTCCCCCTCTAGGGAAAGTGAACGTATAATTCTAAAAACATCAAACTTTATCGGCATAAGCATAACGCTAAGACTGTTACGACAGTTTGAAAGTTGGAAAAACGCCATGCTTGCCACAAGCTGGTACGCACATGCTGCACATAAGCAATGGCTTACCCTCTTGTTAGCTCCCCATTCTTGGGCACACCATTTTAAAACTCTCAAGGCGCTCCTCGGAGATCTAGGGCAGATGTCACTAAAGCATTGATGTCTCATATTAATCCTCGCATTCAGTCGGGACTATAGGAGAGGAAGGTACCTCGATCGTCTAGCGCCAAGCAAATGGATGCAAGTTAATCCTTCTTGGGAGAGCTCCCTTCCGAGCAAGTCACGTATATCTCCGGAAACTTCTTTGCATTCTTTACCAATCCCGACGCAGCTCGTACATTCCAGAGATGTAGGGCCAATCGGGATAGGTCATGTAGTATCCGTATCTGGGAAATCTGAAATGATCGAGGCCGGACAGGATGTTGTCCGAGGGTTTAGTGAGTTCAGTCAAGACAGAAATCTAAATGGTTGAGTAGTTCAGACTATAGTCGAGTGATGACTAGGAAATAGTCGAAGGATGGCCAGGCTGGCCGAGCAGAATGGACCATATCTGAGAGAAAAATGGTTCAGTCCGAGAGAAAAAGGAAAGTAACCGAGAAAAAGGAGAAGTCTCCGAGGAAAAGGAAAAGTAATCAAGAGAAAAGGGCTAGGCCCGTGGGCCTTTGAGTTTGGTCGAAGAAAAATTAAAGTTTCCCGATGAGAAAAAGATTTCTCGGTATTATGGTAGAGTGGTTAAGGAGATAACCGAGAGAAATTTAAAAATGACCACAAGAAATCCTACTGTGATCGGGAGAAGTCGGTTTAGGCCTGGTTACTTATGGTTTCGAGTATAAAAAGAGTCTTGGAGGGATTTTTCAGACGGAGAGCCGTACTATTTGGGAGCAATAGAGCAAGAGAGAGAGAGAGAGAGAGAGAGAGAGAGAGAGAGAGAGAGAGAGAGAGATTGGTCAAGGGATTACCCGAGAGAATATGAGTATCCTGGAAGTTAGTCGAGAGAAAAGATGATGCCCGGATTCCAGTCTAGTCGTAGCCGGAGTACTCCGACCATATCCGAGAGAAGTTCGGCTTTGTTTGGGAGAAAGAGGATTTACCCGAGAGAAATTGGAGATCATTCGGGAGAAACAGAGATGATCGGGATAAATGAGGATATCCGGAATCCAGTTGACCAGTTATATCTGAGGATAGTCCACGACAAGGTAAATCTAGTCGAAGCGACGTGACTAAGTTCAGGAGAAACGTGACCGTCACCGAGTGAATATCCGGATAAGAGATTTTATCCGAAAGAGGATTAAGTTATCCAGGAGAGAAATAGGAATGGTCGGATGTTTCACGACGATAGTCGGGTCATGCGAATAATCGGTGAACTAGATTCTGACTATATCCGAGAGAAACGGTTAAGCCATGACCATATCCGGGAGAAAGTAAAGATATTCGACAAGGAAGAAGAATAGCCCAAAGTATCACGGTGATAGTCGGGAGATACGAGAGATCCGAGGGTCGGATCATAACGATAACCGAGAGAAATGGTTATACTGCGACTATCATCGAGAGATCGCCGAGAGATCTGAACTATCACCAAGAGATCTGGACTGTCACCGAGAGATCGTAGAGAGATCTGGACTATAACCGAGTGAAACGTGTTCTGATCGATCATTCATCGAGAAAAAATCGATATTCCGTAAGATACATCAAGAGAGATCATTATGCCGAGAAGGTGTTATTGATGAATGGTTAGCCAGTATAGTCCATCGAGAGATATGGACATGGTCAGGGAGATCGTAAACTGGGCTAACCGGACGGGCAAGGGATAGAGGATCCGAGCCGTCCCTCTTCGTTACTTAGTCTTGTGGGGATGGTTGGTTGAGTAACGAGGGGGTGATGTGTTATGAGGTTACTGACGATCGTGAGGGTTGTGACTATGGATTCTGATGGTCGTAAGGATCATGCCTGTGTTACTGGCGATCATGAGGATTGTGATTGTGTTTTCTGATGGTCATAATGATCATGACTGTGTGCTGGCGATCAAGGGGGATCGTGACTGTGATTACTTGTGGTCGTGATAACAGGGAATGGGGTTCCGGGATGATCTGGGATACCCATATATTCCTCTTTGTTACTTGATCATGTGGGGATGGTTGGTTGAGTGACTGAGTAACGAGGGTGTGATGTAGTATTGCTGACGTAGTGGCTGAGAGCCACGATAGCAAAGGGCACTCATGGGATCATGTGGACCAGAGTGATTCAAGCAATGCATCCGATATCTGCAAGTGGCTAAGGTACGAACTAATCTTAGCTAAGCTTAAGGTTTTGTGCTTAGCGAGTTATGTGATAACTGGGTTATAAGGATGTGAACATCTGAGTTATGTTGTTAGTCAAATAGTGGATTGGAACCCCGTAGAGGAAATAATAAGGAAAAGGCAAAAATTTCCTGAGGCACGGTCACGGTGTAACCTGGTTAGGAATTGTTTCGACTACTGGTTAGAAAAATCGGGTCGGAGCTTTACATGTCACGTCTAATCTGGCTACGCACAAAACTTTTAAGTATAAATGGGAAATTTATGTATATTTTGAAGCAACAGAGTCGATCAAGATTCGATTCGCTGCCCCGTCAAAGAAGGCATATGCTTTCAGAGATTGGGACCGATTTCTCGAGCGCCAATTAGAAGGCTCCATATCAGCTGAACGTCCAACTCAACATGGTCCCTAAGAATATCTGCCTCGAAAGGATTTTAACGCTAGGGCAGTTAACCAACTCTCTACACTGCAAGCCTTGTCGGCAGAGCTCGCGGAGCCAATAGGAATCCCGTCAAAAACAATATAAATAAGACCTCAAATCTCACAAGGAAGAGGGAAGGTCGGTGAGCCTTCAATCGAAATCAGACGAATGGATTATAGAGACTAGAGAGAGATTAACTTGACTGAATTAGGAGGAGAAAATGGCGGAGAGCCTTCAAAGGATCTCTCTATGACCGAATCTCCTCCCTCAAGATGCTTAAGATCACCTAACCTTCCATGACCAGATACAGCATTCCCCGGATACGTTCTCACTGGCCTGCCCAAAGGATTTTTCTGGGAAGGTACATTGACCTTCTTCCACTATCTTATCCATCAAGATATTTCCGACCCCTTCTCAGGCCTGTTTATAGCCTCTCCGATCACCAAACAGCGGATGAGTATCACAATCTTCGGTTGTGGTATTACACCCCATAACCTCTCCAAAACCTATCCTTCTAAGCTTTTGTTTCTAGTGGGACGTATCTGACTCGAGCATCGGAGAAGTTTCAAAGAAAAAACACTTTCATGTCCTCCTAGAGAGGGCTTATTGTTTACTAAGTGTCGCCGGTTCGGGGATGACAAACACAACTGGCTACTAGAACACTACTCATTCTCCACATGACAAATCTGTGAAATAAAGTTAGCCCAAGATAATAAACACATATTCCTTATTTACATTTTGCAAAATACTATCAAACAATAATAGATAAATTATAAATAAATAAGTTTTAAGTGATTTATGTAAGTTATGATTCAAAAATAAAATTTTGTGAAATTTCAACAAAAATTAAAGGTTTTGATTTTTTTTTTACTAAGAAATTCAACTACCATTTTTTAAATTTATTTAAAATCTTTTTAAATTCATTATTAAAATATTTTTAACAACATTATATTTAAAAATACATTTTCAAATCATTAGTTCAATAACATAATATTTTAATAATATTTTTTGAATTTTGTGTTTGAATAATATATAATTTGTTATTATAATGTAAAATTACTCTAAATTTTTTTTAAAGTAGTTTTAAAAAATATAATAGTTCAATGATTTTGTAAACGTATTTATTTGAGTGCCAATTTGCATCAATACTGTACATGTTTATATATATATTATTGCTTTTGCTTTCAAATGCAGCAGCAAACTAGAATACCCAATTGACAATACGACTAAAATATGATCCATATGATGCATAAATAAAAATGACCATAATATTAGACGCCAGAGTGACCAGAATTTATATAGCCGTTAAGTTACCTGATCGATGATTTCATATTCAGATGGGGGAGTGCTATAGACAGCCTTTAATCTCTCACCCGGAGGAGCACCATAGACTCTACTCATCTTTTTCTCAAGAAGTGTAATCACAGAGTCTTCTACTGCCCAAATCCCGGCGCATTTCGCCTTCTTCTGACCCTAACCACCCGGGCGATTCTGCCTTCATTGCCTCGGAAGGAGAGAGGAGTTCAAAAGGCGATGGTAAAGGAGGGTTGGGACAATAAGAACATCCTTTTGAATTCCAGCCCCATTCGGTTTCTTGAATCTCATGTAACTCATAATACTCGGTTTAAGGATAACCGACTTGCGTCTTTTGTTTTTCACCTCCAGAGCTGTAGCCATGCTTACAGGGTAGAGAGATATGATATAGGTTATGTCAAGAAACCCAGCCGTACAGCTCAGTTCGATCTGAGAACCATTAACAAATATTCAATTATTTTCTGAACAAGATTTGATTAGTTGGGGGGTTTAAAATCAATCACCAGAAGCGCATCAACGGCGTCTGAATCAGTGTCCTTGACACTCCAATTACCACCTGAGATTACCGATGTTGCTTGTTCTCCGTTTACAATAACAAGACCAACTCCACCACCTATGCCTTTATCACTATCAAATGTGTAAAGGACTTCCTCGAACCCGTCGTCTTTCCAGTATACCTTAGACTTATATGAAACCACATGAGCGTTTGATAGACTCAGCTTTAAAGAACTTCCATTTCTGACCTTAAGCTCGACCATGGGAACGTTGTTTCGTTCAGAGAACTTTATGCCTTTTCTTCCAAATTTCTCTTTAAGCCCTTCAATTATTGTTTGGGTCTGAAGAGCTAAAATTCTTGAATTTCTTACGGCTTTTGGTTTTGCGAGAGGAGAAAAAGAGATAAGAGAACCATTGATGAAATGTATGGAGCAAAAAAGACCAGTGAAGTTGTAGAAGCGCTGAGCCTAATCCTTTTTTCCAGCATTTATATTTTTCAATTTGTTTTACCTTTTTAATGTCGTTTCCTTACACTGTTTTATTTAGCCTGTCGTTGTCTGGTTTCGTGGTCCGCACAATGCCTATTGCCTAGATATAATTTTTTTAATTTTTATTATTAATAATTATAATAATGTCTTAATATATTAAATAATAATTTAAAGTGATAAGTTGAGATATTTACATTGGAATGTACTTTAATGAGTTTGGATAACAGAAAGAGGCACTTGTGACAATTTGGGTACTTTTTGATTCTTTTACTCTTCTTTGCTCATATGTTAGCAATTGATGTTAGCAATTGATTTTTTTTTACTTATTCTCTTTTTTCATCGACTATGTTTAGTTTGCTGTTTCTCAGAATTTCACATCGGACTTTTTTTTTCATTCTTAATTAAAAATTAAATCAAATCTGGGTAAAAATCGAGATTCAACTATTTGAAGAAGAAATTGATGATATGACAAACACGATGGAAGAATCGAAGAAGGGTTGGCGTTAGCAATTTTAGTTATGCATACACAAACCACACCATGTATAGATTGAGAGATGGTGGATCGATAACAAGAAGACGAGGTGATGTTGGAATTCTTTTGAAAGATTAGCATTTAACTTAAAAAATGAAAGAATAGCGTTTAGATGGTGTTTGTGGACAGTGCTTTGTGAATGGTGCTCTATGTATTCTTTGTTAGATCGAGCTTATCTATCTCTTAAGGCCATTGAAATATATTCCAAATCAAAGTAAGAGACTTCAAGTTTATGGATATGCTCAAATGGATAATCTCTGGTGGACATGTTATTAATATGACGAAGATTATTCATAATAGACTAGCTGAAATGGATACTTGACGGTGGATATTTTTATTATTATTGATTGAAGGACAAAAGGCTGAAGGTAGATATGTACAAGAGAGCATGGACAAAAGATCGTGGACAAGAGGGCATAGACAAAAGGTCGTGGATTAGAGGTAGATCATGTAGAAAAGGTCTTGGACATGATTTTATGAACAAGATAGCATGTACATATTTAGTTCTTTTCAAGATATCTCTCTTCCTAGGGGATCTCATAACTCTCTCTATGATGTAATCCATGATACTTAGGATTTTGTTTTGCTTCTTGAGTTTGAAAGTGCTTGTGATTATACAATTTGATATGATTCTGGTTTTTTTATGTTCTCCATCTATGGTGCTTCATATATTTATTCACACAATAAACATATATATTTCTGTTCTGGGATTATATTTAATCAATTTTTAATATTGTATAAAATTGTCCATAACATTCTCAAATAAGCTTTTGATAGTCCATTACACTCTTGTACATATACTTACGATCAACAATTTCACTCTTGTACATATACTTATGATCAACAATTTTGTACATGTTTGCAGGTGGACACGAACGAGTGGACACGAAGGCTGGAGCAAACCGTATAGACACATTGATTATTTATAACTTTGTTGATAGACGTTGCATCCACCATAGATTGACCACACAACACACGCAACCGAAACTCCAGTTCACCACCACGAAGGTGTTATGAGAAACAAGTTAACCAAATTTGTTTCATTGGCTGACTTAACAACTAATGGAAAAACACAATTTGGTGGATAGAAAGCTATGGACATGATCTGAAGTGTTAAAAATCATACAACTATCAATATATGTATAAACGTTTACATCTGTCAATATGAGTTATAAACACAAACAGAAAGACAATCCATGGACACAAACTCATGGATACAAAATGCATGGACACATTACTATGGATACAACACATGAAAGAAGAAGAACTTCACCTCATTGTTTAGGCAGAGATCGTTTTGTGTCTTTATTTCTTATCCATTTGAGTGTATCCATAATTTGAAAATCTCTACCATTCCTGTCCACTATAGCCTGTCCATTTGAGCATATCAACAAATTTTAGAGTGTCTTGCTTTGCTTTCGACAATATCTGGATGCCTTAGGAGCTAGAGAAGTTTGACCACACAAAGAATACAGAGAGCATCAGAGATATGTTCTTCTCTTATCTGTAGATTCTTATTCCAAAAGCAGAATATGAGTATTAAAGCTTAACAATTTCAGTACAAGAATCTATTGAGAAACAAGCAGTTATATATGTGGAGACATAGTAAAATACACAAAGACGCTGGATAATCTGGGGGGTTCTCACCTTACACTCTGACGTCAGTTTATAGCAAACAATCTGGGGGGTAGTTTCTTATTCCACGCAAATTATATTCAAAAAATTAGATACACACACTAGACTCGTCGAGTGACACTGGTGGACGATTCAACCAAAGAACTAAATCGAACACATAGTTTTTCCACTAAAACAATACTTCATTAAACACCAACAATAACCGGTTTAGTTACCTTTCATGCCGGAGCTTTAGATCTACACCTAAATCGCACAAACAAGGACTTTTTTCGGACAGTGCTTTAAATCTCAAACTTCATCTTACAAACCAAACTTCGATTAGCACAACCACCCAACTGAGATCGCAACTGCCTCGCCTTCAACACTTTCATTCCGTCACAAATCACACACCCAACTATTATTTACACCATCGGTTTCCAAATTGGGGTTTACTGACATGAGGCGGCGATAAGTGCTGATTTAGTTGCCGAAGAAACCCCAATAAATTAATTGTTACAATTCTCTCATGTCTTGTAAATATCTAATGTCAAAAAATTAGTCTAAGGATAAGTTCGTCTTTTTGCATTGAGAAAGTGCTCAATACGCAAGAAGTGTCGATTTTGTAAACGTAAGAGGCAAAAGTGCCTCTACGTGTAATTATCTCTGATAAGTTAAAAAAACACATTCAATATATCAAAAAGCAAACCCATGGTTACAAATTACAGCTAAATAAACAAAACACAAAAGCTTCCAAAAGTGACCGTTTTTATCTCTCAAAAATAGCGATAAAAATCGCGATCTAGGTTTCCATGGAAAATCGGTGGGGGAGATATGGGGGATAATCTATTATTGAAGACGTAAAGGATAAGGAGAATCTCAATCTACTTTGGGGGTTACCGATTAATTCATCGAAGATATTTGGAGATTCACGGGATTACAGGAAGATTTGGGGGATCTTTGTTCTCGGGCTCAAGAGTCTCGAGTATGCTTTGGGGGCAACATAAATTATGCGGGGGCAATTATACTGGTGGAGAATTTTAAGATTGGAGATTGGTTTGGTCTTGGAAAGTTGTGGAAATCGGGAGTATTCAGGGCTTTTGGAATTTCGGATCCGAGGGAAAAACGGAAAAGGAAAGCTATCTGTTCAAGTTATATATTCTACTCTCGATAATACTCTCATGATCAATTCACAATTTCAAGAGCTAGAGGACATGGATCAGCCCCGTAATTTTCGGATTTCACTAATTAGCGGAGATATCATGGTTATTAGGTTTTTAGGAGGATTTCTGGTATGCTCAAATTTGATTCGGGGGAGAGATGAATTAAGGAAACACATTATCTTCGGTGTGTTACAGAGTCATGGCTTCGAGATCAGTTATTCGGGATATGTGGAGTTTATTGTCACCCCTGTAATGAAGGGAGTTGACGACGGTATTGAATGGTCGATCATGATTAAGGTAACAATATGTTCTTTAATACTGGTTTTATTAATTGGTGCTTTACTTGGCAAGTTCCATGGCTTTCACTCGGTGTTAATTTTGGATATAAATTTTGGTAATGATGATTCGGATGGCAATAGTATAAAGGAAATTATAGAGAGGAACATAGATTCACACTTTTCTTGGCTTGGTTTACATCTTCTCTTACGAGAATCTCTCAAACTTGTTATCTCAGGCTTAGCGATGTCTAAAGCTTTTCAAATGGTTAGTGGAGGTTCAAGCAAGAAGAAGGAGACTTTGGCACCACGATTGAAGATCACGTTACCTAGATTCGATAACACCGAGCTGATAAAGGGATACAATCGTACTCTTATTGGCCGGTGCATGAATCTAACTGTTCAAGAGATGAAGGCGCTTCTATTTATGCTACCAAGGATCTGGAATGTTGAAGAGCGTGTGGCAGGAGCAGATCTTGGAATGGGCAGGTTCCAATTTGATTTTGATGAAGAGGAGGATATCCAGGCGGTTTTACAAATGGAGCCTTTCCACTTTGATGGATGGATGGTTGCTCTTGTCAGATGGGAGTCGGTGATGGAGATTAATTACCCGTCGGTGATCTTTTTTTGGGTCCGGATGATGGGAGTTCCTCTCCACTTTTGGGCTGAAATAACTTTCCGCAGCATCGGTCAAGCAATTGGGATAGTGAAGCAAGTGGATTTGGATGGAGGCAGGGTACAAATCGACAATGATCGCTTCAAAGCGATTGTTTTCGAAACGACGGTAGAGTTCCACAGCGGTGAAGAGACCACTATTAATCTACGGTATGAGCGCCTACATGGATATTGCCGGGAATGTATGAGCCTTTGCCATGAATCCAGCAGATGCCTATCACTGTTACCGAAGAGGGAAAGAAGAGAGGAGACGCAGTATTTTGAGGACAAACAAGATGGGGGTGCAAAGAGCTATAAAGGAGCCCTTGGAGGTTCTGGAGAAAGTACAAAGGATAAACTAGATCAGCAAAGATCGCAAGGAGATTCCTCCAAAGGGAAAGGCAAGATGGTGGAGAGTCGGGAAGAGAATAGAGCCACTTGAGGAGATATGCTGAGGAGATCTTCTAGACCACTGCCACCGAGGGATGCCAGGAAACGGTTTGGCGGGGCAGCTCGGAGCATTCATCGCTCTACAGAAGAGCACAGGTTTGAACTAAGGAATTACAGGGAGCAACGAGATCAGGGGACAGAAAACAAACATGAGGGAAGCGATAAAGATAGTCCTCCCCAACATTCTGCTAAGAAGGTGAGGAAGGGATTAAATTTTGGGGAGAACGCAAATGGGAAGGATGAGTTTAACACAGGGATTAGCCAAGCTGTCTTGGAAGAACCGGGGGAAGCACTTGTAGAAGCAATGGAGTCAGGTTCTCAGATGGGAGAGAGAGGAGTGGAGGATGATCAGTTTGACAGTTTGATATTTCGAGAGACTTTAATATCGATGACTTGGAAGATACGTTAGAGGAGGTGGGGGAAGGTCAACTTCCATGCCTAGACAATATTCAAATTGAATCGCTGCATCATGATCAAGGGGAACAACCACTCGAAGCAGAACGTGGGGAAGACCTTCCCAATGAGATGATAAAGGTATCGACAATAGCGGGCGTAAAGAAGAGGCCCTTTAAGCCAACCCTTGCTGTGGGCGGTGGATCGAGAAAATTGATGCACGGCACTACACCAAAGAAGAAGGGGAATTTGAAGGATTTAAAACGTGGTGGGGAGAAAGGGTTGGTGCAACAGAGCAAGATTGAAGGCCCGATGGAGGGGCAGGGAGAGAATTTTAAGGTTTAATGGGGGTATTAAGCTGGAATTGTCAAGGTCTGGGTAATATGTACACAATAAGCTATCTCAGGTTGATATGGAGGAAGTTCAAACCGGATTTTCTATTTCTTTCTGAAACTAAGCAGTGTTTTAATTTTGTTGAGCAATTTAAATTGCATTTTGGTTAGGATTTATTATTTACGGTTGATCCGTGTGGTGCCAGTGGTGGACTGGCTTTGTTTTGTAATAAAAACTTTGATGTGAAAATTTTATTTTCTAATAAAAGGATTATTGATATTGAGGCTTATGTTGAAGGAAAATTAACTTATATGTCTTTTGTATTTGGTGATCCAGTCCAGAAATTAAGGGATCAAGTTTGGGAACGATTAACAAGAACAGGTCTAACAAGATATTATATGTTGTTTTTAATTGGTGACTTTAATGAAATCACAGGGAATCACAAAAAACAGGGAGGGATAAAAAAGCAAGCATCTACCTTTGTTGGCTTTAATACAATGATTAGCAATTGTGGTTTAATCGATTTTCCAAATCAGGGGAACACATTGTCTTGGAAGGGTAGACATAATGGGCATAACGTATGGTGCCACTGGATAGAGGACTTGCGACGGAGGAGTGGCATTACTTATTCTTATATTCATATGTGGAATATTTGAGAATGATAGGCTCAGATCAGCAGCCTATTGTTGCAACGATTGAATCACAAAATTTTAAAGATAAGAATCTGTTTCGTTTTGATAAGAGATGAATTGGCCAGGAGGGATTAATGGATGCCATAACACGCGCTGGCTGGAACAAAAATCTCAACCACCCCTTTCCTTGGTTGATAGGATTATCAATTGTAGACATGAAATTTCTAAATGGCGTCAAATAAGAAAATCATTTGGCAGAAATAAGATTGAAGAACTACAAAGGGAGCTGGTGGAGATTCAGACAGATGATACACGAACCCAAGATAAGCTAAATGAGATTACTCAAAAGCTTAGGGAAGTATACCGGGATGAGGAAGATTTTTGGCAACAGAAAAGTCGAAATCTCTGGAACCGTTGTGGAGATCTTAATACGGAATATTACCATGGTACCATAAAAAATGAAGGACAATTAATAGGCTTGTCGGGTTACATGATAGTAATGATAATTGGATAACTGGGGTTTTGCCAGGACAGCTGTGGTAAAATCCTCTACCACCCGAATCCCTAGGCCACCTTCAGTTTTGGGTTTGCAAAGCTTCTGCCAGGCCATCCAATGCATCCCACTTGTTTGATCGTTCTTACTTCACCAGAACTTGGCTACCGAACTGGTCAGTTTTGTAGTGATCGTTTTTGGTAGTCTGAAGCAGGACATGGTATATTTCGGGATTGCTTTGACCACTGATTTAGTAAGCACCTTCTTCCCTCCTCTTGATAACAACTTCGATGTCCAGCCAGTTGTCCGTTTTTGCTGTCTTTCCAAGATAAAATTGAAGACTTTTATTTTTGCTCCACCTAAACTTTCCGGAATCCCAAGATATGAGTCCATTCCCCCTATATTGATAATGCCTAACGCATTGTGTAGGGCTTCCTGTGTCGCTGGTGAGACCTTATGTCCAAATTGTACCGAGGATTTCGAAAAATTTATTTGTTGACACGAAGCTATCTCGTATTGCTGTAAAAGATGCAACAGTACCTTCGCCTCTGACTGTGTTGCTTTACAGAAAAATAGACTGTCATCCGCAAAGAACAAATGAGAGACCGTCGGGCTCGCTCAAGGAATTCTTATTCCAGTGAGTTGCTTGTCCTTTTCTGCTTTTTTCACATTAGCAACTAACACTTCCGTGCAATGAATAAAAATGTAAGGTGGCAGATGATCCCATTGTCTAAGTCCCCTTTTTGGTGTCACATTACCCATTGGGCTCCCATTTATCAGTACTCTATATTGAACTGAGTCAATGCAACACATTATCCAATTATTCTATTTCTCTGTGATATCCAATTTCATAAATAAATGCCTAATACATGACCATTCCACCCAATCGTAGGCTTTACTCATGACTGTTTTGACATCCATGAAATGCTTTTTACAAGAATTGTTTGTTCTCAGACTATGGAACATCTCCTGCGCTATAAGAATATTATCCGATATTAGTCTCCCTGACACAAAAGCCGATTGTGTCTCCGATACCAATTTTAGTAGTAATTTCCCTAATCGTTGACATAATACTTTGGATATTTTATATCCGACATTACAAAGACTTATGGGCCGTAGTTCTAACATCCGCGTTGGTTTCTCTATCTTTGGGATCAGACAAATGTTTGTCAAATTTAGTCTCTTATCAAATATCCCTGATTCAAAAAATCGGTTCACTAGATTTATGACATCATCTTTAATGATATCCCAGGATTTCTGAAAAAAATAATGCGGTCATTCCATTCGATCTGTTTTCCCTCAGAACCAGTTGGTTTTAAATACTACGGTTGTTAATTAATGTGAACGACCAGTTAGATGATATACTTTGATTTTTTTGTTTCTGCATATAATATTCTTGAGCCCTCTAGGCTTCTATGATGCTGCTTCCATTTTATTACTAATATTAACTTACCATATTTTTTGTTGATTGTGGGTAGATATGGTAGAGTTTCCAAAACGAAATGCATGACTAGGGTGGTTTAGTCAAGGAGTGGGAACGGTAGATACACTAATGGGAGCACGTAATATAGGTCGCAACATTTCTCCATTACTCACAGAACTGGAAGCGTTGATATAGGCAATGTACTGTATGCTCGATGCTAGAAGACTAGAGATGGACTTCGTCACATATAGCTCTGAATTGGTGAAGATGTTGTATGATCCTCTAGATGAATCCTGAGGCGGCAATAAGTGCTGATTTAGTTGCCGAAGAAACACCAATAAATTAATTGTTACAATTCTCTCATGTCTTGTAAATATCTAATGTCAAAAAATTAATCTAAGGATAAGTTCGTCTTTTTGCATAGAGAAAGTGCTCAATACGCAAGAAGTATCGATTTTGTAAACGTAAGAGGCAAAAGTGCCTCTACGTGTAATTATCTCTGATAAGTTAAACAAACACATTCAATATATCAAAACGCAAACCCATGGTTACAAATTACAGCAAAATAAACAAAACGCAAAAGCTTCCAAAAGTGACCATTTTTCTCTCTCCAAAATAGCGATAAAAATCGCGATCTAGGTTTCCATGGAAAATCGGTGGGGGAGATATGGGGGATCATCTATTATTGAAGACGTAAAGGATAAGGAGAATCTCAATATACTTTGGGGGTTACCGATTAATTCATGGAAGATATTTGGAAATTCACGGGATTACAGAAAGATTTGGGGGATCTTTGTTCTCGGGCTCAAGAGTCTCGAGTATGCTTTGGGGGCAACATAAATTACGTGGGGGCAATTATACTGGTGGAGAATTTTAAGATTGGAGATTGGTTTGGTCTTGGAAAGTTGTAGAAATCGGGAGTATTCAGGGCTTTTGGAATTTCGGATCCGAGGGAAAAACGGAAAAGGAAAGCTATCTGTTCAGGTTATATATTCTACTCTCGATTATACTCTCATGATCAATTCTTAATTTCAAGAGCTAGAGGACATGGATCAGCCCCGTAATTTTCGGATTTCACTAATTAGCGGAGATATTATGGTTATTAGGTTTTTATGAGGATTTCTGGGATCCTCAAATTTGATTCGGGGGAGAGATGAATTAAGGAAACACATTATCTTCGCTGTGTTACGGAGTCATGGCTTCGAGATCGGTTATTCGGGATATGTGGAGTTTATTGTCACCCCTGTAATGAAGGGAGTTGACGACGGTATTGAATGGTCGATCATGATTAAGGTAACGATATGTTCTTTGATACTGGTTTTATTAATTGGTGCTTTACTTGGCAAGTTCCATGGCTTTCACTCGGTGTTAATTTTGAATATAAATTTTGGTAATGATGATTCGGATGGCAATAGTATAAAGGAAATTATAGAGAGGAACATAGATTCACACTTTTCTCGGCTTGGTTTACATCTTCTCTTACGAGAATCTCTCAAACTTGTTATCTCAGGCTTAGCGATGTCTAAAGCTTTTCAAATGGTTAGTGGAGGTTCAAGCAAGAAGAAGGAGACTTTGGCACCACGATTGAAGATCACGGTACCTAGATTCGATAACACCGAGCTGATAAAGGGATACAATCGTACTCTTATTGGCCGGTGCATGAATCTGACTGTTCAAGAGACGAAGGCGCTTCTATTTATGCTACCAAGGATCTGGAATGTTGAAGAGCGTGTGGCAGGAGCAGATCTTGGAATGGGCAGGTTCCAATTTGATTTTGATGAAGAGGAGGATATCCAGGCGGTTTTACAAATGGAGCCTTTCCACTTTGATGGATGGATGGTGGCTCTTGTCAGATGGGAGCCGGTGATGGAGATTAATTACCTGTCGGTGATCTTATTTTGGGTCTGGATGATGGGAGTTCCTCTCCACTTTTGGGCTGAAACAACTTTCCGCAGCATCGGTCAAGCAATTGGGATAGTGAAGCAAGTGGATTTGGATGGAGGCAGGGTACAAATCGCCAATGATCGCTTTAAAGCGATTGTTTTCGAAACGACGGTAGAGTTCCACAGCGGTGAAGAGACCACTGTTAATCTACGGTATGAGCGCCTACATGGATACTGCCGGGAATGTCTGAGCCTTTGCCATGAATCCAGCAGATGCCTATCACTGTTACCGAAGAGGGAAAGAAGACATGAGACGCAGTATTTTGAGGACAAACAAGATGGGGGTGCAAAGAGCTATAAGGGAGCCCTTGGAGGTTCTGGAGAAAGTACAAAGGATAAACTAGATCAGCAAAGATCGCAAGGAGATTCCTCCAAAAGGAAAGGCAAGATGGTGGAGAGTCGGGAAGAGGATAGAGCCACTTGAGGAGATATGCTGAGGAGATCTTCTAGACCACTGCCACCGAGGGATGCCAGGAAACGGTTTGGCGGGGCAGCTCGGAGCATTCATCGCTCTACAGAAGAGCACAGGTTTGAACTAAGGAATTACAGGGAGCAACGAGATCAGGGGACAGAAAACAAACATGAGGGAAGCGATAAAGATAGTCCTCCCCAACATTCTGCTAAGAAGGTGAGGAAGGGATTAAATTTTGAGGAGAACACAAATGGGAAGGATGAGTTTGACACAGGGATTAGCCAAGCTGTCTTGGAAGAACTGGGGGAAGCACTTGTAGAAGCAATGGAGTCAGGTTCTCAGATGGGAGAGAGAGGAGTGGAGGATGATCAGTTTGACAGTTTGATATTTCGAGAGACTTTAATATCGATGACTTGGAAGATACGTTAGAGGAGGTGGGGGAAGGTCAACTTCCATGCCTAGACAATATTCAAATTGAATCGCTGCATCATGATCAAGGGGAACAACCACTCGAAGCAGAACGTGGGGAAGACCTTCCCAATGAGATGATAAAGGTATCGACAATAGCGGGCGTAAAGAAGAGGCCCTTTAAGCCAACCCTTGCTGTGGGCGGTGGATCGAGAAAATTGATGCACGGCACTACACCAAAGAAGAAGGGGAATTTGAAGGATTTAAAACGTGGTGGGGAGAAAGGGTTGGTGCAACAGAGCAAGATTGAAGGCCCGATGGAGGGGCAGGGAGAGAATTTTAAGGTTTAATGGGGGTATTAAGCTGGAATTGTCAAGGTCTGGGTAATATGTACACAATAAGCTATCTCAGGTTGATATGGAGGAAGTTCAAACCGGATTTTCTATTTCTTTCTGAAACTAAGCAGTGTTTTAATTTTGTTGAGCAATTTAAATTGCATTTTGGTTAGGATTTATTATTTACGGTTGATCCGTGTGGTGCCAGTGGTGGACTGGCTTTGTTTTGTAATAAAAACTTTGATGTGAAAATTTTATTTTCTAATAAAAGGATTATTGATATTGAGGCTTATGTTGAAGGAAAATTAACTTATATGTCTTTTGTATTTGGTGTTCCAGTCCAGAAATTAAGGGATCAAGTTTGGGAACGATTAACAAGAACAGGTCTAACAAGATATTATATGTTGTTTTTAATTGGTGACTTTAATGAAATCACAGGGAATCACAAAAAACAGGGAGGGATAAAAAAGCAAGCATCTACCTTTGTTGGCTTTAATACAATGATTAGCAATTGTGGTTTAATCGATTTTCCAAATCAGGGGAATACATTGTCTTGGAAGGGTAGACATAATGGGCATAACGTATGGTGCCACTGGATAGAGGACTTGCGACGGAGGAGTGGCATTACTTATTCTTATATTCATATGTGGAATATTTGAGAATGATAGGCTCAGATCAGCAGCCTATTGTTGCAACGATTGAATCACAAAATTTTAAAGATAAGAATCTGTTTCGTTTTGATAAGAGATGAATTGGCCAGGAGGGATTAATGGATGCCATAACACGCGCTGGCTGGAACAAAAATCTCAACCACCCCTTTCCTTGGTTGATAGGATTATCAATTGTAGACATGAAATTTCTAAATGGCGTCAAATAAGAAAATCATTTGGCAGAAATAAGATTGAAGAACTACAAAGGGAGCTGGTGGAGATTCAGACAGATGATACACGAACCCAAGATAAGCTAAATGAGATTACTCAAAAGCTTAGGGAAGTATACCGGGATGAGGAAGATTTTTGGCAACAGAAAAGTCGAAATCTCTGGAACCGTTGTGGAGATCTTAATACGGAATATTACCATGGTACCATAAAAAATGAAGGACAATTAATAGGCTTGTCGGGTTACATGATAGTAATGATAATTGGATAACTGGGGTTTTGCCAGGACAGCTGTGGTAAAATCCTCTACCACCCGAATCCCTAGGCCACCTTCAGTTTTGGGTTTGCAAAGCTTCTGCCAGGCCATCCAATGCATCCCACTTGTTTGATCGTTCTTACTTCACCAGAACTTGGCTACCGAAATGGTCAGTTTTGTAGTGATCGTTTTTGGTAGTCTGAAGCAGGACATGATATATTTCGGGATTGCTTTGACCACTGATTTAGTAAGCACCTTCTTCCCTCCTCTTGATAACAACTTCGATGTCCAGCCAGTTGTCCGTTTTTGCTGTCTTTCCAAGATAAAATTGAAGACTTTTATTTTTGCTCCACCTAAACTTTCCGGAATCCCAAGATATGAGTCCATTCCCCCTATATTGATAATGCCTAACGCATTGTGTAGGGCTTCCTGTGTCGCTGGTGAGACCTTATGTCCAAATTGTACCGAGGATTTCGAAAAATTTATTTGTTGACACGAAGCTATCTCGTATTGCTGTAAAAGATGCAACAGTACCTTCGCCTCTGACTGTGTTGCTTTACAGAAAAATAGACTGTCATCCGCAAAGAACAAATGAGAGACCGTCGGGCTCGCTCAAGGAATTCTTATTCCAGTGAGTTGCTTGTCCTTTTCTGCTTTTTTCACATTAGCAACTAACACTTCCGTGCAATGAATAAAAATGTAAGGTGGCAGATGATCCCATTGTCTAAGTCCCCTTTTTGGTGTCACATTACCCATTGGGCTCCCATTTATCAGTACTCTATATTGAACTGAGTCAATGCAACACATTATCCAATTATTCTATTTCTCTGTGATATCCAATTTCATAAATAAATGCCTAATACATGACCATTCCACCCAATCGTAGGCTTTACTCATGACTGTTTTGACATCCATGAAATGCTTTTTACAAGAATTGTTTGTTCTCAGACTATGGAACATCTCCTGCGCTATAAGAATATTATCCGATATTAGTCTCCCTGACACAAAAGCCGATTGTGTCTCCGATACCAATTTTAGTAGTAATTTCCCTAATCGTTGACATAATACTTTGGATATTTTATATCCGACATTACAAAGACTTATGGGCCGTAGTTCTAACATCCGCGTTGGTTTCTCTGTCTTTGGGATCAGACAAATGTTTGTCAAATTTAGTCTCTTATCAAATATCCCTGATTCAAAAAATCGGTTCACTAGATTTATGACATCATCTTTAATGATATCCCAGGATTTCTGAAAAAAATAATGCGGTCATTCCATCCGATCTGTTTTCCCTCAGAACCAGTTGGTTTTAAATACTACGGTTGTTAATTAATGTGAACGACCAGTTAGATGATATACTTTGATTTTTTTGTTTCTGCATATAATATTCTTGAGCCCTCTAGGCTTCTATGATGCTGCTTCCATTTTATTACTAATATTAACTTACCATATTTTTTGTTGATTGTGGGTAGATATGGTAGAGTTTCCAAAACGAAATGCATGACTAGGGTGGTTTAGTCAAGGAGTGAGAACGGTAGATACACTAATGGGAGCACGTAATATAGGTCGCAACATTTCTCCATTACTCACAGAACTGGAAGCGTTGATATAGGCAATGTACTGTATGCTCGATGCTAGAAGACTAGAGATGGACTTCGTCACATATAGCTCTGAATTGGTGAAGATGTTGTATGATCCTCTAGATGAATCCTGAGGCGGCAATAAGTGCTGATTTAGTTGCCGAAGAAACACCAATAAATTAATTGTTACAATTCTCTCATGTCTTGTAAATATCTAATGTCAAAAAATTAATCTAAGGATAAGTTCGTCTTTTTGCATAGAGAAAGTGCTCAATACGCAAGAAGTGTCGATTTTGTAAACGTAAGAGGCAAAAGTGCCTCTACGTGTAATTATCTCTGATAAGTTAAACAAACACATTCAATATATCAAAACGCAAACCCATGGTTACAAATTACATCAAAATAAACAAAACGCAAAAGCTTCCAAAAGTGACCATTTTTCTCTCTCCAAAATAGCGATAAAAATCGCGATCTAGGTTTCCATGGAAAATCGGTGGGGGAGATATGGGGGATCATCTATTATTGAAGACGTAAAGGATAAGGAGAATCTCAATATACTTTGGGGGTTACCGATTAATTCATGGAAGATATTTGGAAATTCACGGGATTACAGAAAGATTTGGGGGATCTTTGTTCTCGGGCTCAAGAGTCTCGAGTATGCTTTGGGGGCAACATAAATTACGTGGGGGCAATTATACTGGTGGAGAATTTTAAGATTGGAGATTGGTTTGGTCTTGGAAAGTTGTAGAAATCGGGAGTATTCAGGGCTTTTGGAATTTCGGATCCGAGGGAAAAACGGAAAAGGAAAGCTATCTGTTCAGGTTATATATTCTACTCTCGATTATACTCTCATGATCAATTCTTAATTTCAAGAGCTAGAGGACATGGATCAGCCCCGTAATTTTCGGATTTCACTAATTAGCGGAGATATCATGGTTATTAGGTTTTTATGAGGATTTCTGGGATCCTCAAATTTGATTCGGGGGAGAGATGAATTAAGGAAACACATTATCTTCGCTGTGTTACGGAGTCATGGCTTCGAGATCGGTTATTCGGGATATGTGGAGTTTATTGTCACCCCTGTAATGAAGGGAGTTGACGACGGTATTGAATGGTCGATCATGATTAAGGTAACGATATGTTCTTTGATACTGGTTTTATTAATTGGTGCTTTACTTGGCAAGTTCCATGGCTTTCACTCGGTGTTAATTTTGAATATAAATTTTGGTAATGATGATTCGGATGGCAATAGTATAAAGGAAATTATAGAGAGGAACATAGATTCACACTTTTCTCGGCTTGGTTTACATCTTCTCTTACGAGAATCTCTCAAACTTGTTATCTCAGGCTTAGCGATGTCTAAAGCTTTTCAAATGGTTAGTGGAGGTTCAAGCAAGAAGAAGGAGACTTTGGCACCACGATTGAAGATCACGGTACCTAGATTCGATAACACCGAGCTGATAAAGGGATACAATCGTACTCTTATTGGCCGGTGCATGAATCTGACTGTTCAAGAGACGAAGGCGCTTCTATTTATGCTACCAAGGATCTGGAA